TTAAGCGCTGACTCGGCGACTGTAAAGAATGCAAAAATGTTAAGGGATTGTGATCAGAATACACCTCTACGGGCCCAGATTAAAGATAAAGCCTCTTTCAAAAACAGAAACCCCTGTAATAACCGACCATCCCCAAAAAACGCATGAGTTCTCTTTTGGTTGACGGAGGAGGAAACTGCTGAATGGCCAAAACTTTGGCCTGAACTGGCCGTACTTTGCCTTGGCCAACCTCTTTTCCCAGATATCTTACTGTAGCCTTGGCAAACTCACACTTAGCCAAGTTAACTGTAAGACATGCCTCAGCCAACCGAGCTAAAAGAGCTTGCAGACGAGGAGTATATCAAATTCCAGAGCATGCCCTTTTTAAATAGCCCTGAATAGCCAACTTCCTGTTGGGCCGAGCCTATGACATGCAGCGCAAAAGTTGTTTGGCTCAATAGGGCCCTGCGCCTTTCTGGCTTGGGCCCTAATAACAGAGTATGAGTATAGTCCAGATGATGTAATAAATTAGGTTACTTCTCTAGCTCTAGGAGTTAACGGCACTTGCCAATATCCCTTAAGAAGATCTAGCTTGCTCACAAAATTAGCTGTACCCACCTGATCTATACAATCCTCCATTCGAGTAAGTGGAAAAGCATCGGGCTTAGTGATGGCGTTTAGCTTGCGATAATCAGTGCAAAATCTATAAGTCGAATCTGATTTCCTCTCTAACAAGCAAGGTGAAGCCCAACTTGAACACGACGGAACAGCTATTCCGTTCTCAATCATATATTGAATCTCAGATTCCAATACTCTCCTCTTACTAACTGGAGCCCTATAAAAATGCTGACGAATAGGTTGTGCGTCTCCCACATCAACATCATGTTGTATCAGATGAGTACGAGTAGGTACATCTGAGAACAAGCCAGGAAACTCCCATAACAATTGGGTTAGCTCTTTATTTTGCACCTCTGTCAAATGTGAAAACAGAGCATCTAAATTCTCAAGAGTCTCTGAATTCTTTAATCGAGGAAGCAAAACACAATCTTCAGGGACAACTATGTCCTCATTAACAACCATATCTTCTCTTCCCTCAGCAGAAAGTTGACAAGACTCAAAAGAAGCAGTAGCAACAGGAGCAACTGATTTCATTGGTTGAATTTCAGAATTTCGAGAATGATAAGCTTTAATCAAATTTACATGGAAACACTGCTTAGATTTTCGCCGATCTGGGGTTGCAACTTGATAATTTTCATCAGACAATTTCCGAAGAACAGTATATGGCCCAGTCGTTTCCACATCGTTGAATCCGGACCCCTTTAGGAAAAGTTTGGACACCCCAGATCTATCTGTAATTAGGGTTTCAGTTTCAACTGTTAATTCAGTGTGCCAGCATTTAATGCTAATAGACTTGATCGGTGTCGCGTCATAGCTGTGTGGGCGGAGTCGGCATGGGGGAAAACAGTCCTTTCCCCCTCATTGGAAAAGCATGTTGTTGACTCAGAATGGCCTACATAAAACCATTTCTGCCGCTCGACAGAGCAACATACGTATAAAAACTGAGGCGTATTGGGTCGGACTGTCCGTACAGATTTTTTGTTACCTAATTGAGCAAAAGACAGCTTACTGCAAGCCTTTACGAGACGGCTTGTGAAAGTTTTGTTTTGCTTAATTTTAATAAAGTGATAAAGACTTGAGTAAAAGCCTGTCGTACTTAGTGATATATTAAAAATATTTTTAACATTGACAAAACAGGTAACATGAAGGTCCACTGAAGTGCCTTGAAATGTGCAGCGTTATTCTATGTGGTGTTGTAAGCCCCATCAGAAATGGGTTGCGGTGCACAGGACTAATGACAGATCATTGCAGGGTAAGTAGTGTAGCCTATCTGTGCTACCCGCTCAGTGCTACCTCCGGTAGTCCGTCTGTTTATCAGTCATATACATCTTCAAATCAGGTTTTTTAACTTATTAGAGGTACAGAACGCCCCACAGCAACTTTTCGGCATTGCACCAAGCAAAAATCAATCGAAATCATCACAAAAAGTAAAGATCAAGCGCCAAACAAGGTCTCCGCGCGTTAATTCGAATGGTTTGTTTTCCCCCACGGCATAAACGGTTATGACGTTTTTGTGGGCATTCCCAGAAATGCCGAACAAGTCTATTGGACTCATATAACTTGGCCTGTCAGGTTTTTGGTCATTTGTGAATTTTTTTAAGTGCCTCACATCAAATTACCACAGTACAAGACTGGACAAATTGAATGTTTTTCTCCCATCAGCATTTAATGAATGGCCCCTACAATATAATTCAGCATTCATTAGAGTGTGTGTGTGATAGTGAGAGGCATAGAAAATGTGCAAGTGAACATACTAAAGGTACAAGGAGGCTCAGCACAATATATATATATATATATATATATATATATATATATATATAAAATGAACTTTTCCACGACATTCTAATTTATTGAGATGCACCTGTATATATATATATATATAATATTTAAAATTTTTACAATTAATTATTTGGAAGAAATTTGATGAATTTCAGGATTCAGCCTTTGAAAGCACTGAATCAACTTCTGTTTGAGGGCAACACTATTCTTTAATATTAACCTAATAATTGTTGACACTTCTGACACTTAAGCCTTATAAAGTGTATTCCTTTCTTTGCATTGGATACAGAATATGGAACCACATGACATTCAAAAACAAATGATGCTAGACTGTTTCTCAGAACATTTTTGTGATTTTAGTGGAGGATGTCAGTTTCGCTCAAGTCCACACAGATAATAATAATTTGATTTCAAACAAAATTATTTTTTACGTTTTGCTTGAAAAGTGTGCTTATGCTAAACCTCTTTACCATCACAAATTAAGCTGTTAATGGACAAATGAATGCATGCATGACATCTTTTTCCATCATGTTTGGACTTAAACGTATTCTGGTTGTGGTTTGGTAAGTGAATAATGCATCGGTAAATCTTTAGTGACACTTTTCTAAATGTATGTTTGGACTATGCAAATAAGTTCCACAGGAGGAAAGAAGGGTGGGCCACACCGTGTTCCCCCACTCTGATAGAAACAACCAATCACAGCACAGAAATGGAGAAGCGCCAAATTGCAATCTCCTCCTCATCGGAAACGGATAAAGGTACCCTTCCAACAGACACTCCTTGTTCTCTGGCCTGCATGGTGGGAGATACTAAGTGGTATCTCCCAGATACTATTGGAAGAGACAATAACAGATACCATGTTCGGAGTCTCCAGCTTTTGAGACAGCAACAGATACGACCACGTTCTGAGCCTCCAGTCTGCGAGGAAAGAGATACTCTAAATTCAGAGCAACAACAGATGCAGCATGTCCTGAGTCTCCATCCTAGAGAGACAAAGCGGATTGACCAAGATCTGAGTCTCTAGCCCAGAGAGGCAGAGGACATACATTTGCAACAAGGTTAAGCTCCGGCGAGCAAACCTTCACTTCAAGGTACGTTGGTCTGTGTGTTCCAGACTAAGGACCTTCTGCACCTACTCCAGGGCCACATCTGCATTCCAGATTTTAGGACCCTTTGGTGCTCCAGGAGATCAACATACAGCGCTTTGTGTTCAAGGCTGTTGAAACGGATTCCTGCTCCTTTCCCCGCACTGTTACCAGCACAACCAGTGGAAGAAGTCACCGCCACCGGACTGCTCATTCGACCACAGAGAACGTAAATGTCACTTATCCAAACCTCTTCCAGAGGCCATGGATATTATATTATTGCATATTATCAGTATATGATTTTCTATTTTACATTAGATGTTATATAGCTAATCATTTAAGAACAAATATCCATTCATTTATTTGTTTGAGGCATAATAATGTTCTTCGCCTGATTAGTTTCAGTTTAACTTTTCATAAGATAACGTAACTCTGCCATAGCAACACCCAACTGAATCACTTGCATTTTATGCATCTTATGCACTTTATTCCTTTTTCATTTATGGTATTCATTTAGTAGTTGTTGATTACTCTTGTCTATCTTTTGTTAATAAAATTTATTTTATCACACTTGTGTCTTCCTTACAGTAGTCAGTGTTCATTAATTGATAATCTGCCCCATAATCATAATTTGCATGAAAAATAGTAAAAGTTGTTGGTGTTTTACGGCCTCTAGTGTTCATTTCAGCTGGAAACTGCAGTGAGTTGTGTAAATTCTTTTACATTCTTTTTTTTTTTTGAGTTTTGCCAAAATGTTGGTAGAGGCACGTTTTTTCCAATGAGCCTGGGTTGTGCAATTAATATGCCTAAATCCATAAAAGAACTGTGGAAACTCAGAGATGCCTGGAACAAACTATCTACAAGAGATAAATAGATAAAGGATATAAATAACCTTAAACAAATTTTTTGTCAAGCATCTATAAGGTGCCTAAGACTTTAACATAGTACTTGCATAGTATATAGTAATGAGCAGATGCACATCCCACTGCACCACAGCTCAGACACATAAAGTTTGTGGAAATATATTCATTCTCATTTTTAAGCACATCATAGTATTTTTGTAATGGTTTTAAAATTTTTATGACCTTTCCAAAACACCTCATTTGGAACAAAATTACCTGTATCTGACTGAGAAATTGTGGTGTGCATTATAAATACTCATTGTGGGTGACAAACGGAACAAAAAAAGTCTGTGGAAACAACCACAAATAAAGAGGAAGTGCTATCGCAACATGCAAGTGCAAGGACAACACTGAAAGAGAGAAGATGGCAGGAGTGAACATGAACTGAAGAAATTAAATGTCACATGATTGAACAAGTCAGAACTTTGTTCTCCTGTTCATAACAGCATTAAAATTAGTTTGTGATAATGAGTGAGCGTGAGTGAATGTGTGTGTTGTATGTGTGTGCAATTCAGTAAACCTGAAAAAATGTGGGTCTGTGTGTAGTGTCGTCAGAGTGCTCTTTCCTGGTCTTGAGGGCGTTGCATCCTTGACAGATAGGCTATACAGTACACAGATTTCACTGCTTGTCAGCAAGGTACAGGGAAGGAGAGGAAGAGAAATACAATTCATAGACAAACAAATTCCTGCCTCAAGGAGACTACAGGACAGGTATGTATGCATTTTAAAACTATCAGTGAGCTGTGTCAATGTGATTGCTAGTAAAACTAACTGTATAATGCCTACTGTTGCCTAATGCATTTTTTTTTTACATACAAGACACTAATTAAAAATCTATGTATCAAAAAGTGCACTGTGCTTTTAGCACAATAGATGAAAAGAACATCTAGCTTTTATTCATACAACAATAATGTTATTTGAATTGTAAAGAACATTTGGAGACCCTTCAGCAGACAAGCAATCTCATGAAGTTTGGTCTCAGACACTAACTGTGTTTGTTGCAGTAATGCTTTTCTGCCAGTCTTCAAACTATGCAAATTCACTATAATGATATGCCATCAAATCTGTTTCACTCTAAAAAAAAAAAAAAACTAGACTTAAGAACAAAATTAAGACAGACAAATACAAACATGCTCATTGCTTTAAGGCAAGTTAAGCGTGGCTTGCAGGTGTTCAGTCACACTTCATTTTAATGCCGTTTGACTACATGCAAATTACAACCCATATCGTATCCTGCAGTTGTTAAGTGTTGCTGTCCTGCAAGAAGTTTAATATCAAAAGAATAACAACTTGCAACAGTAACATTTTTGCTCTTTCATTGACTGACTGTGCAACACCAGAGCAGTTTCCTGTCACGTACACAAGCTCACATGTGGACACCTACTCACAAAAAAAAAACAGAAATGAAACCTTTTCATGCGCAAACCCTTAGTGTAGCTAAAGGTTAAATTCAGTCAAAAGTGAAACAAAAATGGCCCATATACCTGACAGATTCCTAGAATCACAAGGAGCTATGTGAATAGTTCTATTATATAGAACTATAATAGAAGTGTTCTATTATATATGTTAAAAATATGAATGCTTGAGTAGAGATCTAATCAATAAGAAAAGGGATTATAATACTCTTAATACCTATCAGACAGAGAGGGCCATCATAAGATTTGGAGAGAAGGCATGTAAGGTAATGGCATGGCAGCTTAAGGCAGACCAAAACAGGCAAATGATCAATTCTATAGATATCGGTAATAACATTTCCCATAACCCTACAGAGATAAACAATGCTTTTAAAGAATTTTATGAAGAACTTTACACATCCCAAGTGAATTAAGATCTTAACCAAATGTAAGCTTTTGTCTCCTCTGTCAATCTACCATCCTTATCTGAAGAGAATAGATCTAGCTCGGATAACCATTTTCTATATCTGAGCTGAATGAAGCTATACAGTTATTGTCTTCCAATAAACCACCAGGGGAGGATGGCTTACCCCCTGAATTCTATAAGAAATGTAGAGATTTGCTTACACCATTGGACCAAGCCAGAGAGGATAAATGCTTCCCAGATACTTTTTCTAATGCAATCATTTCAGTTATTTATAAGAAAGGTAAAGACCCGTTACAATGTACTCACTTCTCAATACGGACTATAAGAGTAACTAAAATTACTAATTGCTATTAAAATTAAAATTGCTACCTGTATTGGTGAAGCCAGACCAAACAGGATTTGTAGTTAATAGGTTGTCCTCAGATAACCAAAGGCATTTTTTTAATTTAACACTGCTAATGTCAATCAGATATCTGGAGTAGCTGTTTCCCTCGACGCAGAAAAGGTATTCGACCGTGTCGAATGGCCATATTATTTCGAGGGTTTTGGTGTAGAATTCATAGACTTGATTCAATCACTTTACAAATCTCCTAAAGCTAAAATTGTCACCAATGGAGTCACCTCTGCTCCATTTCCTCTGTCTAGAGGATGCAGACAGGGATGCTCTCTTAGTCCGGCCCTTATCATGTTGGCAATCGAGCGAATAGCCAAAGCAATTAGAACTAATCCCAATATAAAAGGTTTTGATATTGGCCATATTAAACACAAAATATCACTTTTTGCAGATGATATTCCTTTATTTTTAACTAATCCAACAGATTCTCTTACTCACTTGCAGAATCTTTTACACTCGTATTGTTACTTTTCAGGTTTTAAGGTTAATTTTGATAAACGTGAAATACCATTATCTGTATTTAAATATGGAATGATTGGTGATAAGTTCCCTTTCACATTTTCACCCACAGGTATTAAATACTTGGGTATTTTCGTAGATGGGGACTTGAAAAATATTTATAAACTCAATTTGCCTAAACTTCTGGAGAAATGATCTTGCCATCTGGAAGGACCTACCATTGACACTATTTGGAAGGATTAAAAGTTTTTAAATATCTTTCGATCTCTCCCAATTCATATCCCACCCTCCTTTTTCACCCCTCTTAATGGTTTGATCAGACATTTCATATGGCGTAGCAAAACCCCTAGAATTAGTCTTCTTGACAAATTAGCTTTAGACTATAATCAGGGAGGTTTAAAATTACCAAATTCCAAATTGTACTGTTGGGCAGCCCATTCCAGATATCAGATGTTTGGAAGCGACCTCCTTCATGGCTCAAAATAGAATTATTTGAATTAAAGGAGTATGTTCCCTCGGACATGCTGTATAAATGGGATGAGAAATTAATTAAAATGTGGGAAAGGTTGCAAAAGACATTTGGACAGAAAGAGTTTCTTTCCCCTAAGACACCAATATGGGGCAACAGATTGCTTCCAAAATGTTTTCAGAATAAACACTTTAAAATATGTGCTGATAACAGAATGATTTGTCTAGAGCAATGGTACGAGGATGGAATATCATTGCCTTTTGAACAGCTCAAATCTAGGTATAATTTATATAATTTATTATAAAATTGGTTTATTTGAGCCAATCCAACCTATAAAATAATCTCTAGAATATATAATGCCCTTATGACAAATAAACCTCCACCTGAACTACATAAATCTAAAGTCAGATGGGAGCATGATCTAGGCATTAGCATAGAAGTCTGGAGTGAACTATGCAAGAAAGGAATCACATCTTATTTGAACTCTAGGTATAGACTAGTGTATTGCAATGAAGTGGAAATCTGATACGGTTATTCCAATAAGTCTGTGGTTATCTGAGGTTAATAATTGTATACCTTTAGAAATAAAAGTAAAAAAAAAATTACAGAGTTTGGCAACCCTTCCTTGTTTATATGGAAAATACACCAATATACCAAATGGAAATTTCCCCTGACTAAGATATTACAATGTATTGAAATTGCAATGTACTATTATTTCTTTTGTACTATATTTCATTATCACCCTGTGTCATCTCATTGTGAATAGATGAATATTTAAAAAAAAGAAGCAGCATTTTTTAATTTACTTTCCTGTTTATTATTATTTATTTCTTAAATGTATTGTATTTTATCTTTCATTTCTGTCCATGGAACACATTTAAAAACATTTAACTGTGCCAGCACATTTTGTTTAAATGCATTTTTCAATATTCTAGAAGAGCAACACAGTACCATTTCAATATCTTCTCCATTGCTCTCATTCCCACAGATGCACTGGGAGTGGTTCAGATATTCTGTTGTGACGTTCAACTGTTTGAAAATGATCACTGTTGTTTATGTAACTGCCATGTTGATGTGTTTATTTTGCAGTCTGTCACATAACTTTATGCATGGCGGGTGAGTCTAGACGATTTTTTTCAATCTCAGATCTATTTTTCCTATTAGTTCTCACTCTATTTTTGGTGTTCTTCCTTTTTTTATGTATGTATGCATTTATTTATTTACGTGTTTATTTTATTATTAATATTTTAGTACCATTTATCCAGTTTTAACTTAAAAAATTTAAAAAATGCTGGGTTAAATAACTGGGACAAACCCAGCAATTGGGTTACTACCCAGAAGGTTGGGTTAAACATTTAACCCAACCGCTGGGTCAAAACAGACCAATTTTAATTCACTGGGATGTATTTAACCCAGCATTTTTTAGAGTGTAACATTTAATTGATCCAAACTCATTCAAAGCTAATGATGAATACTATCTAAGAGTAGTTGAAATAAACCTTTATACAAAATATCACTTGATTTGCTTTTATTTCAGCACATCGTTAAACTCTGTGCTCTCTTGTTCCAGGCAGCAGCTTTGAGGCTGAGTTCCTACAGAGTCACAATGTATACCGCAGACAGCATGGAGCGCCGCCCCTCACCATAAACAAAAACCTGTGCCGCTCCGCACAGGCATGGGCGGAGCATCTGCTGTCAATCACGACCCTCAAACACAGCAACAAGGACTACGGAGAAAATCTGTATTATGCTTGGAGTTCAGCTACCAAAAAACTCACAGGTTAGCTTTCTGCTCGAATAAACAGACAATGAAGTCAAATTCTTCTAAGAGGCAAATCAAGGATAAACGCTATATCAGTCATTTGATAAGGATAGTCAAATCCAGTTAGACCGCTCTGGTCAGTGGTCAGAGTTGAATGCATTAGAATTAGAAGCCATTGCAGGCGTTATGCAGGGTGCCAGAACTTTGTAACTTCATAACAAGACATTAAACTGGAGATATATGAAGCATTTGTGTTTTTATAAACGTCATTTGTATTGCACACTGTCAACTAATTTCTTTTAGAAACAATTACATACCTTATGTCTCCACTTTCTACAGGACATGAAGCAGTGGAAAACTGGTACAGTGAAATTAAAGACTTCAACTTCGGCAGGCCTGGATTTTCCTCCAAAACAGGTGATTCCACCTGAAAACACTCTGGTGTGGCTAAACGTTTGCTCTAATCTCTTTTACAACACTGACTCCTAGTGGTTTCTCCAGGTCACTTCACACAGGTGGTCTGGAAGGACACTAAAGAGGTGGGAGTTGGACTGGCCACTGATGGGAACACAACTTTTGTTGTGGGTCAGTACCTACCAGCTGGAAACATCACAAATGCAGGTTATTTTGAAAAAAATGTCCTACCGGCGGGCACCAAAGTAGACTCAAGGTCCACTGGTACAAGTGAGTAAACTTTCTAGTGGAATATATATATTTATTTTCTTTTTATATGTTCTTATTAAACTTTCTTATGATTATTTTTTTAACATATTATTACTAAATTATTAATAAAAATTACAGAGAGTAGTTCTAATAGTAGATATGGACTTGACAGTGAATAGTGTAAAAGACTGTATTGTAAAAGAGGTGTTGATGATCATTACAGTATAGTAAATATTTTATATATCTGGCAACATTCAGCTGACAAAGTGGAACAAGTGCATGGTGCATCAGGCATAAATTCAAAGCAAGCACCTTCAGTGCCTCGCAGTACTGAAATATCACCACCCGGGGACCGAGGAGAACATCATGTGGGAAGCAGCTTAAAGGGTAAGTTGAGTTAAGGTTATTTGTTTCATGTAAATACTTTATAATGATAAATAAATGGCCATAAAATGTATTTTAAAATTGTGCAGCTTTTCTTTCAGCGCTTTTTCTGGTGGGGTCATCTTGTTTATACAAAAGCAAACATGGACTGTGTTTAAAAACTCACCTTTCATCATAATTATCTGTCTAGCCTTAATGCAAATGAAATATGATAGTCCATTCTTTGTACTGGTGCTTTATGGCTTCTGAAATGGAGCATGTGCACCGCAATACATTTAAAAGAAAAACACGTGACTGAGGATATTAGAATAAAAAATTGTCTTTATTCTTTCAGTCAGCATGGGATGCGCTTTGTGCACATCAAATAACTCTTTATGTTTGTCTGTAGCAGACAGCAGCTTTGAGGCTAAATTCCTGCAGACTCACAATGCATATCGCAAACAGCATGGAGCCCCACCCCTCACCATAAACAAAAACCTGTGCCGCTCCTCACAGGAGTGGGCCGAATACCTGCTGTCAATCAGGACCCTCATGCATAGTAGTGGAGAGTATGGAGAGAATGTGTATTACGCTTGGAGCTCAGCTAGCAAAAGACTCACAGGTCAGAGTTTAGTAGCGACTATATCTGTACCATTTGCTAATGTTTCACTTGCTCACTTTTCAGCCAGCCATCTTAGATGTAAAGTCTTTACATAAAACCCGGAGCTTGGGGTTTAACACATGATCTTGTCTGCATGTTTTCAACATTGCATGTTTGTAATTTACACAGGACGTGAGGCAGTGGAAAGCTGGTACAGTGAAATTAAAGACTACAACTTCAGCAGGCCTGGATTCACCTCCAAAACAGGTGAATCCATCTGTAAACACTAAACGGTGGTTAGACATTTGCTCTAGTCTCTAGTCTGACATCTGTTGGTTTCTTCAGGTCATTTCACACAGGTGGTGTGGAAAGACACAAAGGAGGTGGGGGTTGGACTGGCCACTGATGGGAACACAACTTTTGTGGTGGGTCAGTACCTCCCAGCAGGAAACATCAGCAATGCTGGATATTTTGAAAGAAACGTCCTACCAGCAGGCTCCAAAGCAGACTTCAAATCCACTCCATCTGGCGAGTCTGGTATGACTATGTGTGCATGGATATAATACTAATTAAACTGAAAGTGTGACCATATAAACACACATGTATATATAATAAGACACTTATTGTACAATATACAATATTCACAGTTTTGAAAATTTTTATTTGATGTTCAGCTGACAGAGTTGGACAGTTGGGTTAAACATTTAACCCAACCGCTGGGTCAAAACAGACCAATTTTAATTCACTGGGATGTATTTAACCCAGCATTTTTTAGAGTGTAACATTTAATTGATCCAAACTCATTCAAAGCTAATGATGAATACTATCTAAGAGTAGTTGAAATAAACCTTTATACAAAATATCACTTGATTTGCTTTTATTTCAGCACATCGTTAAACTCTGTGCTCTCTTGTTCCAGGCAGCAGCTTTGAGGCTGAGTTCCTACAGAGTCACAATGTATACCGCAGACAGCATGGAGCGCCGCCCCTCACCATAAACAAAAACCTGTGCCGCTCCGCACAGGCATGGGCGGAGCATCTGCTGTCAATCACGACCCTCAAACACAGCAACAAGGACTACGGAGAAAATCTGTATTATGCTTGGAGTTCAGCTACCAAAAAACTCACAGGTTAGCTTTCTGCTCGAATAAACAGACAATGAAGTCAAATTCTTCTAAGAGGCAAATCAAGGATAAACGCTATATCAGTCATTTGATAAGGATAGTCAAATCCAGTTAGACCGCTCTGGTCAGTGGTCAGAGTTGAATGCATTAGAATTAGAAGCCATTGCAGGCGTTATGCAGGGTGCCAGAACTTTGTAACTTCATAACAAGACATTAAACTGGAGATATATGAAGCATTTGTGTTTTTATAAACGTCATTTGTATTGCACACTGTCAACTAATTTCTTTTAGAAACAATTACATACCTTATGTCTCCACTTTCTACAGGACATGAAGCAGTGGAAAACTGGTACAGTGAAATTAAAGACTTCAACTTCGGCAGGCCTGGATTTTCCTCCAAAACAGGTGATTCCACCTGAAAACACTCTGGTGTGGCTAAACGTTTGCTCTAATCTCTTTTACAACACTGACTCCTAGTGGTTTCTCCAGGTCACTTCACACAGGTGGTCTGGAAGGACACTAAAGAGGTGGGAGTTGGACTGGCCACTGATGGGAACACAACTTTTGTTGTGGGTCAGTACCTACCAGCTGGAAACATCACAAATGCAGGTTATTTTGAAAAAAATGTCCTACCGGCGGGCACCAAAGTAGACTCAAGGTCCACTGGTACAAGTGAGTAAACTTTCTAGTGGAATATATATATTTATTTTCTTTTTATATGTTCTTATTAAACTTTCTTATGATTATTTTTTTAACATATTATTACTAAATTATTAATAAAAATTACAGAGAGTAGTTCTAATAGTAGATATGGACTTGACAGTGAATAGTGTAAAAGACTGTATTGTAAAAGAGGTGTTGATGATCATTACAGTATAGTAAATATTTTATATATCTGGCAACATTCAGCTGACAAAGTGGAACAAGTGCATGGTGCATCAGGCATAAATTCAAAGCAAGCACCTTCAGTGCCTCGCAGTACTGAAATATCACCACCCGGGGACAAAGGAGAACATCATGTGGGAAGCAGCTTAAAGGGTAAGTTGAGTTAAGGTTATTTGTTTCATGTAAATACTTTATAATGATAAATAAATGGCCATAAAATGTATTTTAAAATTGTGCAGCTTTTCTTTCAGCGCTTTTTCTGGTGGGGTCATCTTGTTTATACAAAAGCAAACATGGACTGTGTTTAAAAACTCACCTTTCATCATAATTATCTGTCTAGCCTTAATGCAAATGAAATATGATAGTCCATTCTTTGTACTGGTGCTTTATGGCTTCTGAAATGGAGCATGTGCACCGCAATACATTTAAAAGAAAAACACGTGACTGAGGATATTAGAATAAAAAATTGTCTTTATTCTTTCAGTCAGCATGGGATGCGCTTTGTGCACATCAAATAACTCTTTATGTTTGTCTGTAGCAGACAGCAGCTTTGAGGCTAAATTCCTGCAGACTCACAATGCATATCGCAAACAGCATGGAGCCCCACCCCTCACCATAAACAAAAACCTGTGCCGCTCCTCACAGGAGTGGGCCGAATACCTGCTGTCAATCAGGACCCTCATGCATAGTAGTGGAGAGTATGGAGAGAATGTGTATTACGCTTGGAGCTCAGCTAGCAAAAGACTCACAGGTCAGAGTTTAGTAGCGACTATATCTGTACCATTTGCTAATGTTTCACTTGCTCACTTTTCAGCCAGCCATCTTAGATGTAAAGTCTTTACATAAAACCCGGAGCTTGGGGTTTAACACATGATCTTGTCTGCATGTTTTCAACATTGCATGTTTGTAATTTACACAGGACGTGAGGCAGTGGAAAGCTGGTACAGTGAAATTAAAGACTACAACTTCAGCAGGCCTGGATTCACCTCCAAAACAGGTGAATCCATCTGTAAACACTAAACGGTGGTTAGACATTTGCTCTAGTCTCTAGTCTGACATCTGTTGGTTTCTTCAGGTCATTTCACACAGGTGGTGTGGAAAGACACAAAGGAGGTGGGGGTTGGACTGGCCACTGATGGGAACACAACTTTTGTGGTGGGTCAGTACCTCCCAGCAGGAAATATCAGCAATGCTGGATATTTTGAAAGAAATGTTCTACCAGCAGGCTCCAAAGCAGACTTCAAATCCACTCCATCTGGCGAGTCTGGTATGACTATGTGTGCATGGATATAATACTAATTAAACTGAAAGTGTGACCATATAAACACACATGTATATATAATAAGACACTTATTGTACAATATACAATATTCACAGTTTTGAAAATTTTTATTTGATGTTCAGCTGACAGAGTTGGACAAGCACTTGCTGCTCTCAGCATCAAGTCAAACCAATCGCCTTCATCATCTCACACTTCTGGACCAGCACCACGTAAGAGTCAGTGTCCACAGAGCAGCAGTTCAGAAGGTAAGCACTCAAAACAAAGACTATGAAAGCTTATTTCGACCATATTAGAAAAAAGCATGCTTTGATAAAACAGAATTATGACGTAAAAAGTCATAAGTATGAAATAAAAAGTCAAAATGATGACAAAAGTGGGAATAATATTATGATATTTTTTGTCATTATGACTTTTTGTAATAATTTTTTTAACCTCATTATTTTGACTTTTCATGTCACAATTTTGATTTTATCATATAATTGTAACTCTTTATTACCAAAGCATGATTTTGTATGTTGCAGAAATTGGCTTCCATAAGAAACAGAATTGCTTTTTCATAGTGGTTGAGCAAACTATTTTAACCACTTTATGATTATCACAGCACACTATTGTTTAATATAACAGTGTTCATTATTTATGTGGTTTTGCATCCATTTAACATCAACTGAATAAATGCAGAATAAATGCTTTCTTTGAGATAAAGAAATTTTAATTGGTCTTTGCCAGTATGTCCTTATTCAGAAACTATAAAAGTGCCCCTATTATGCCATTGTTAAGGTTCCTAATATTGTATTGGGACTTGGGAGTCTCCTACAATAGGTTTACATGCATGCAAGGTCAAAAAATGCTTTCGTTTTCTCAAAATATGCATTTAATATCACCTCATTTTCCAACAATTCTCAAACGATTCGTTCAGAGCAGTTCTAAGATTCAGTCTCTCTAAACCCCTCCTTTCCGTGAGCCTACTCTGCTCTGATTGGTCAGATGGCCCAGTCTGTTGTGATTGGTCTACCGCATACAGTGCGTGTCGGAAACGATATGGCCATTGCCATAGTTCCATATTTTGAATGCTAGATAAAGAATATAAACATATATTATTTATCATACTTAAACAGGCTGTGATTCAGTGGAGCCAGCTGGTCCAAATAAACAGGATACTGAGCCATCTTTCAAGAGCAAGCGTTTTGTCAATCCCGCGTTGAACTCCCCGAGATTAGAGAAGCAGTGGTCAGTAAAATGACTTGTTTGTGGGCGGGGTCCAGTGGTTCGCAGCCAGCCAATGTAGAACATAGGCGGGGATTGTGCAAGTGTAGCCATCACGGAAGTGGAATTCGAATTACTAACGACTCGTTTAGGTGATTCAGAGTCGATTCTTTATTTTGGGAGACAATAACTTTATTTATTGTGCACTTTCGGCTTCACAACTTTACACATCATTTACATTCACATACAGCTACATTACACACTGCATGAAAGGCAATATTGGAAATGGCATAATAGGGTACTTTAATTAGTATAGTAGTTACCAGCAATTAGTTTGAGAAGTTCATCTCCCACAAAGACTACTTTTTGGAAACAGCACCATTTGATGTATAGGCAGTATGTGCACAAAATGATTTGAAATACTGTTAAAAGTGAAGCTAAAAAGTCCAAAGCCTTATTTTCCACTCACAAGTCTCTTCAGGATTTACAGCTCTTTCTTTTCCTGTGATGAAGGTGAGAACTTGTCCCAGTTTCGTCAGTCTCTCCTTGAAGTGCAAAATGATTACAGGCGGCAACATGGAGCACGGCCTCTGTCACTGTGCCCCATTCTCAGTAAAGAGGCTCAGGATTGGGCAGCACATCTGATTAGCATTAACGCCCTAAAGAACAGCAGCAAAGGTTATGGAGAGACTATGTCATACAAATGGACATCCACCATGGTGCCTCCAACAGGTAAATTGGTTATTACCCCAAAGGGGCCTATTTAAGGAACTGTAGCGCACTATAATTATAACCTTTATAGAAAAACGGATTATTTTTAAACTATAGGAAATGAGGTTGCTGAATCATGGTACAAGGAAAATGTGAAGTACAACTTTGCAGCCCCTGGCTTTCAGAATGGAACTGGTAGGCTAATTTTGCACTCATATCAGTTGAAGAGTTAAAACAGTTAAATCTATCAAATCAAATGGCAAATATCAAGTGCATATGTAAGAAATGCTAACGTTAATTTACATATTAAAGTCAATACAATCAAATTATAATCAAAGTCAATCACAAACCATAACTGAAAATTGAAAATGTGGACAGGTAACTTCACCCAGATGATCTGGGGGTCTACAGAGCAGGTTGGGGTCGGCCTGGCATCAGATGGAAAGGGCAAATTCATCACTGTGGCCTTTTACAAACCTTCTGGCAACATCACCAACCCTGGCTACTTCCAGGATAATGTCAAACCTGCTGGGAGGTGATCTGTTGAATAAGATTATTCAGTCAGTTATACAGTCTTATGCATTTTATTAATGTGATTTTTTAAAAAAGTGATCCAAGATATTACTTGTATGTTAACAGAAAGTCAATCATCTAAATATATTGCATATACAAATACTCAATTGACAACTGCCCCTTTGACAGTATGCTTGTTTTATTTTTCACTTTATTATTATTATTATTATTTTTTTGCTTGGTTCTGGTATATTTATATTCTCATTCCTTGCTGAGGTGGTATTCATTCCTTCATTGTGATAAGAGATGGTGACTTACAATGTATAAAAAGATGATACATCCTAATAAAATATCAAAATATATTTTTGACTAAATAAGACACTATACGAATGCAAATGTTCTGTACATGTAGTTATTTATCTTAATTGTAGTCTGTGGTGTGACTGGTAATCATGACTTCTATGCTGGTGACAAAAGAAATTACTTTTATAAAAAACATTTTAATATTTCATCTTGAACGTCAGCTTTCATCAGATATATAAAGCTACTGAAATGCTAAGTCTTTTAGCTCTTTCCCAAACACACACACATCCTCATAGTTTGAATTCCCTTATAAATATGCACATCGACATGCATCTAGATGTGAACACTAATCTTGCACAGCCCCAGAGAGCTTGGGCGGGAGTGCAAAACTGAAATGGCAAGGTGTCATGTTGCATGAACATCTCATCACATTGTGTTGCTGGCGAAACATGAGATGCTCTTATCTTAATTTTTACATGCCCTCCTTCATGAATACTCACCCTGAATAACATAAAGGTCAAAAACTTGTTTGATAAACTGAAATGTATATACCTTTGCTGGGGTTGAGGTTTTGTAGAAATATAATGCCAGTTGGCTAAAAAGAAAAAAGCTTCCTTATTAAAGAAACCTGCCTTATCACTAATATAAATAGCCTTTAAGATAAAATCTGATTTGAAAACTAACATAAGAGCATTGCATTGTAAAATAGGAGTATGCAAAAGAGTGACAATATCCAAGGAAGGATATATTGAGGATGTTTTCAGACCCATGCATTTGTTAATAAAATTTTGACTTAAATGTGTTTTTAGGTCTGTTCCAACTTCAAATGAACAAGGAAATTAACTCAGAATGAACAAAGGTTTTTTGTTTTCTTGTGTATATGTTGGATAGCAAACAAACAGAAAAATTAGCTTTCTTTTGTGTTTCCTTGGTCATGAATGTACAGTACATACAGTAGACCTATATCTCTGTATGAGTCTGAAAATAGGCCTCTGTGTGGGGAGTTTCTATAGCAGTACTGCTGTTTCTATAGAGCTGTTTTTGCTCTGCCTTTGGACAGTGGAGGATGTTTTCCAGCTAGGTTAGCTTTCCTCATAGGGATCACCAGCAACAGAAGGGAAATGAAAACAGGGTAAAGCCTTGACAAAAAATTATTAAATAAAACAAGACCCGTAAACCAGAGTGTGTGGAACACAAGCCTAAAACATGTTATATTTATGTGTCTAGTCAACTTAAACTAAACTGAAGAAGGTGAAATCATTAAGTTTCAGGTCAAAAGCTATAGGGAGTGTGCATGATGTCCCACTTTGCCTATTCAAAGTTCTTCTTTTTTTGTCTTGTTTAAAAAGAGATGTGTGTGTGTGTGTGTGTGTGTGTGTGTGTGTGTGCAAGGCAGCTGCTGCCAGTGTTGTTACACTTTGAGTATTAATCAATAATGCAGTGCATAGTTTTGCCTTACACTCCTACTCACACACACACACACACACATACAGTATATACAGCCTCTCAAGTTCAGACTTTACCAGTCCCTGAGGGAGTATCTCATTCACACGTCAGTGCCCTAAGTTTCGATGAGTCTTGCTGCAAACACAGTACCTTCAAATATTTTGGGTAGGTAATAATTTGTAATGTATTTCAATGTCTCTTATGCTCACTAAGGCTGCATTTATTTTAACATAAGCATAGGTCGCCGTGATTTTGCCAAGTAAGACATGTTCCTGGATCAACATCTTTTGTTGATCCTGGATCAACACAACTGTCCAAAAATATAGACTTAACCCAATCCCTACCCCTAAACCTAACCTTACCCATAATTCATTCCTAAAAACAGTGTGAAATCATAGCTGATTAACAATGGTGTAGAAGCACCTAACCCTGATCGTAAGCCTAAAACAGATATTTCCTGAAAAGTTTTCCCTCAATTCTGATTGGTTGATAGGAATGTTGTTCCAGGATGTTGATCAACAAGGATGTTGATCCAGGAACATGTTGTACTTGGTGAAATCACGGTCACCACATAAGCATAGTAAACAGTAATATTGTGAAATATTATTAGAATTTAAAACAACTGTTTTCAGTTTTAATATACTTTAAAATGTAATTTATTCCTATGATGTCAAAGCTGATTTGAGTTTTTTTGTTTTTAATCAGACATTGCTCCAGTCTTTAGTGTCACATGATCCTACAGATGCCATTCTTATGAAATGCCGATTTGGTGCTGAAGAAACATTTTATTAATATCAAAGTTGAAAACAGTACTGTTAAATGTTTTTATTCAAATAGAAATCTTTTTTTCATTCAAATGGAATAGAAATCATTTGTAGCTATCAAAATGTCTTCACTGTCACTCTTGATCAATTTAATGCATGCTTGGAGAAGAAAAAGTATTATTATTATTGTTTTAATCTTACTGACCCCAAACTTTTGAAAAGTAAGTTTGAGGGTATTGTGTTTAACAGTTGATACCATTACTCTGTTGAGCTTTCAATAGTCACATAGTCTTGACTAAAACCGTATTTAATCAGAGTTATGTATGAAGGCTTAGTAAACTGTCCTCTTACATGTCATAAAATCTTGGATCTTTCTCTCAACAACTCAACATATGTCCTAATGTGGAAATTCATTCTGCCTTTGTCATTAATCCTATTTCATTTTGTACTTGCTCAGCCTATGTGTGCTTCTGTCATAGCATGCATGAACTGAATTCCCTCTAAGGATGTATGACACCTGTGATACTCATAAATAATTAATCGATGTTACATCCAACTTGTTCTCAGCACTTTAGGGATGGCAGCACAATACAGGCCTACACAAATACTTTGCTGTATCCACCTTATTTTTCTCACAAGAGCAGGCATGGCCATTTGTAATTACAAATTTCATAAAATGTATGGGTCTGGCTTCCGGTGTCATCTGTTTCCAGCTATTTTTAATTGTACAAAACAGTTTGTTTTGCTGCTTGATATTGCAAATTGGTGTGTCTAACCATATTATATATTAGCGGCTAATGAACCGGAAGTCTCGCACATACACAGAAAATGTCTTACTACCGCATTGAAAAATAAGGAAATATGAGAAATCTTGCATCAGCGAGGAATAATTTACTACTCAAGTACTTTTGAGTATGTTCTTTATGTTCTTTAGCATTTCTATGTATGTTTCTGAGTGTGTGTTTCTGTCTGTGCCTGTGTATATTGACAAGTTTGTGAAATTAAATAAAGAGGTGCTGAAACAGGGTCAAAGATATTAATTTCAAAGCCACAGGGTACTATAACTATTTTCTCATGTTCTCATTCATTTGTTATTTACATCAACAGCGATAGATCATTATCAGAATGGGTCAACTAATGGAGGTGCTATACAAAAAGAAAATACAAAGACTTAGTGGAGGAAATACACATTTTTGTGATCTCTATCGCAGGATAGTTTACTACTAAGCCTTCATATATAACTCTGATTAAATATTGATTTAGTTCACCAAAATGGTAGATTAAGTAGATAACCCTTGACTTACTTTGAAAAGCCAACGCACTCTAATGGCATATTTGTTAGGCCTACTATTTTACATTTTTGCAAATCTGAGGTTAATTTAGGTTTTGTTCACATTAATAAAATCACCTCTTTGTAAAATAGTTACGTTTTCTTATGAGATCAGCAGACAGGAGGGGCAACTTGGAAATAAAGAGATATAGAGCTGTGGTTCTTAAATGGTTTTGCTTTATGACTCAGAATTTACACCTAGTTTCTTAAATGTCAGCTATAGATGTTTAATAAGTAGCCTAACATTTGAGTTTTTCAAGTGCATATCTTTACAAGCAACTCCCCCAGCCATGACATAGCCTACAACTGATGCTATATACTATACATGTAAATCTCAAATCCCAGCAAATGCAGCTTCCTTCAATGAATTACATTTTTCATTGGCATTCCAGCTGGCATGCCTGGACTTAAAAATAAGTAAATGTAAAACTGATTGCAGTTTTTAATACTGTTGTTGTTATTGCTCATGATACTATAGTCACGCATAGCGTAAGTTACACCCAGAATAAGGTCAAGGAAACAAATAAATGGTAAGAGAATATTTTGCTAAGTAGCCTAAGTAAATGTGCATGTAACTATAATTTAATTAAATTCTAATATTGTCAAGTGTGGTAACTCCTGTGCAAAAGTTAAGCAAATGCATTCAGTGTACGAACGGAATTATAGTTAACAAGTCCAAACGTGCCATGTACTGTTTGGTGAAGGTGGTGCTTGGTAACACGATTCTCAATGAGAAAATAGGTCTATTCAATGATAAAAGCTGGTCTAAATACGATGCGTATCTGGTTACCAATACAAAACGGTTTCTGGGCGATCTCTCAGTGTTGTAACCATTGACAACAGATTAAACATCTCTAATCCAATCAAAAACAGAAGCGACATGATAGCGCGTGCACCGCAACCAATCAAACGCGGACAGAGAATGATTGACGTCTCGTTCATCCGCCTGTGTTTGAATGCGAAGGCTGACGTTATTTAAAACTGAAAACCGTTAGCGGCGCTCTGCATAGTTTAGTCGACGCGCAGTGAGAGGTCACTACATTTGGTTTTGAACAAAAAAAAGTGCTTTATCATTAACGATTCAACATGAGGGAAATTGTTCACCTACAAGCTGGTCAATGTGGAAACCAAATCGGTGCCAAAGTGAGTAAGGGTATTGATTACGATATTAGCCAAAAAAAACCCGGTCGCGAGGGGCAGAAGTTAGTTTAACGTTGTGTAACGTTAGTTATTTTATTTATATAACTAATTATAGTTGACTAGTTGTTATTTCTTGAGGAAAATGACATTAGTTAGTGTAACTAGCGATTTAACTGGTTATATATCTCT